TTAATAATAATATCATAATAGTACACATGTTGATTATCTAATAGAATGAAATAAAAATTGAAAAATAATTCTAATATAGAAATTCTTTTCCTTTCTTTCTTTTTTTTTTTTTTGGATATGCGCTATTGGCAAAGTTGATGATGATGATGCAATTAAATAGATTATATAAAGTATATTATCTCATAAGAATTATTTTAGCAACACGTTTGTTAATCTCTTAAGAAATTGATTAATATTAATTAGTCAAAAAAAATTTCTACGTACAATTCATATTTTCACAATCTTTGTCATTTAATTTTTTATTTATTTATTTTTTTTTTTCAAGAAACTATAGTAAAAATTCTTTGGAAAATGTTTGTGAGTTATGAGAAGTTTCACGTGCCTCACAAAAATCCATAAGCTACATGGACAGTGTATGGAAACAAATTCTCATGAAGGATTGGTTTCAATAAATTCTTGAACAGATAGATTGAAAATGCACATTTGGAATACAATATTGAGATCAAAATCACGGGAAAAACTAAATTTATTAACTAATTTTTTTACGACACGGACTGGAAAATATACCGTAACAAGACTGATTTATTAACTAATTTTTTTAGGGGACTACAGATTCTATTATATATATATATATATATATATTTCTTTACACCATTTACAACTCATATTTACAGTAAGAGTTATTTTTGAACATTTTTAAATACAAAAATATTTTCATACTAAAAATGATATTTAATTTCATGAAATGTTAATATCAAATTAAAAATTGGAGGTTATAATATGTGTAAACTAATATTTTTAGAGAAAATAAATAAATTAAAAATAGGTTAAACTAATTAGCCATACTTTAAGAGTATTTATATGTATATAATTTGAGAATGCTATTAAATAAATTTTAATTAAAAATAAAACTTAGTATATAATTTGAGAATTCTATTAAATAAATTTTAATTAAAATAAAACTTAATCCTAAAACGACATTGTTTTATGGATGTAGACTAACAATCATTTTAGTGTTTAGTCAAGTATTCTGAACGATAGTTTGGATTGACTATTGCCTTTTTCTTTCACAGGATTCATAAAACCAATAGAAAATAACATTATATGATATGGTTATTGCATAATTAAATTTTTGTTCATTTTTAGGTTTGACAAATATTTTTATTCTCTAAAGTTCTTTATTTAGGTTCTTTTGTTTTTTTTTTTTCTTGTGCTGTGAAAAATAATTCACGTTTTAACTTATAAGTATATTTTAAGAATTATGTTTTATTTATAAGAACACACACACACACACATATATATATATATATATGTATATATATATAATTTCTATAATTTGGTAAAAAATTATTTTTAATTTAAATTTTTCTAATTATTTATGTATTGAACATTATCGAATAATACTTTATAATGTTATTTTATAATTAAAATAATTATAAGAAAGTAATATTAAATAATAGTCAAATTATGTATCATAAAAGATTAATTATAATATAAAAATAAATAGATTTTCAACCAAAATATGTTATTGTATGTGAAACTAATAAATATTGTAAACTAATGTAAAAAGGAGTTAACAAAATTATTATAGATACTCTAACTTGTGTTTCTATTTCTTTTTAAAAAAATTATATTTATTATAAAGTACAGTATAATACAAAAGTTAAATATATCTGTAAAGTTGTTGCTAGATGGACCTAACGATTAAATATTCAAACATTTCAAATAGGTATACTGCGCTTTAAAAACTAAAAACGAAAAGAAAGATATTTATTACATGCATATATATTTTTATTAGAAAACATATGATTAATCAATCCGCTTAATGGCTATTCAGTCTCATATAGGAATTTATGTTAACTTATATTTCAACTTATTAAGTATTTACTACATAATATTAGATATATTATCAATTAAATGAAATTACACTCTTTAAAAGTTATATGTTCCTTCCAGATTCTATTGCAGTGCACATGAGATAGTTTCCATGTTAATTAAGTTTTTGAACAAAAAGAGCATGATCCAATGTTTCCTCAAACTCTCCACAGACATGGCATATAGGCTCCGCCTGCATCCCTCTTTTCAAAATATTGTAACTGACTGGTAAGATGTTTGAAAAAGCACCTCCATATGAAATGTCTTACCTTACCAATCACTTGAGTTTCTGCGTCTATGCCTAGCTCTCATATTGCTTCTTGTCAATCTGCTATTTTCAGCTATTGAGGTCTTACAGAATTTCTCAGAAATCAAAAGAGAATATGCATTCTTCACATAGAACCTTTGTCAACAAAGGTACACTTCTTCATGTTAGCAGCTCTGGGATTTAAAGTTTGGATGGCCAGGATTTTATCAACCTCATCCTCCTTGAACAGGTCCTAACCAGGACTTGATCTCATTCAATAACCAGGATTTTTTACCTTTTTATTTACTTAGTCAATAAAAATAATGACAAAGAATGGTCTTCTTCAACAAGATTAGAGGACAAAATTATAAATTATCACATGCAATTATTCTTGTAAAAGATGTAAATTAATGTTATTGTGTCTATTTCTCAATCTTCCCCAGACAAATAGATTTCGAATAAACAAGACTAACTAGATAATGAAGGTTTGTCAACAAACATTTTCATGCAATCTTTTACACCATGACTTTTATATATTATTCTTTTGAAAATTGTATTTCAACTTTCAATATATTCAACACAATACATTATGTAATGCACTTTATTGTTTGATTAATAAAAAATAATAATGCAAAAAAACTGAATAGATTATTAAAAGATAAAAGTGAATATATTATTTAAACTCACATTAAAATATAAATTACACTTTATTAGTACTCCTATAAAAGGAGGAATGATTTCGTAATAAACTGACAATAAAGTCTTTATGTTCAAAATATTTTTAATAAAAAAATTGTAATAAGAAATTAATTAATTAAAAATTTTATTAAAAATATATCTTAGTTGTTTAAAAAGGTAGAACTCTATATTCATATTACAATCTATACTTATAAGAGTTTATATTTTTTAAGTCTCCACGTTTTGTTGGGATTTGCTAAACTCCGTGGAATATGATTATATACCCAAATTCTTATTTTTCCATAATGACGGAACTATACAATACACATTAATTAAATTGATTGACCAAAAAATATTCCCTGAAAAAATGTCTCATGTAGAGAAGCTAATCCACTAAATCCAAAAATAATGATAATAAAAAAGTTACACTACGTATCTAACCCCCTTTAATTTTGTAGAGCAATTAAAAATAAAGAAAACAAGAAAATATGAAAACAACACATAAGTACATAATCAAGAGATCCAAGACACACACACACACAAGAAAAAAAATAATTACAACCTTCACAACAAATCTATTTCATAAACACATAATAAAAATTTTAATCATGTTTTCCATAAACATATAACAAAAAATTAATCTGTTTGGATTGGAACTCCAAAGGGGAATTCACAGTGGCTTCTACTTATCTGAAACCCATCCATAAAAAAATGGACCCACTTGGATCTACCTGAGAGCAGCTGGGACCATATCACTGCAAAATAAGTAAGGAAAAGGAGCTGGAGCTTGAAAATTAAAGGTAAGTTGAAGCATTTCCTTTGAAAGTGATACTCTAACCTTCTTCCAGTCAACTGTAATCTCATCAAAAAAGGAGTACCCTTGGATGTCATTTGCAAATCTTGTGGAGAAATTCATGAAACAATTGAACATTTGTTCTTTGACTGCCCCAGAGCCAAATTAATTTGGGCCATATCTCCACTAACCTGGGATGGATTGGAG